TATAATGAATTGCTTGTTGTATTCCTCATTTGTAAATCGCTTTGGATAAAACCGTCTGCTAAATTATTATTACATTTTTTTTTGCTAGCCAAACCCCTAAAATATTTACTTAAAAGTCTCCCTGAGGTAACATTTCAATAATTTTACAACACATTTGCATGTTCACGGTTCTTTGATGTCAATTAATGGTTACAAGACATACAGGCAAACAATGTTTTTCCATCTTTTTAGTAATTTATTTATTATTATTTTAAAATAATATATTTATTTGAATATTACATTTTTGTGATTTAATGAATTATTAGCTTTTCATCAACTCTCAAACTCCAGTTTCAGAAATTCTGTCTAAGGCTACTGAAATAATTCATTTTTTCATAATTCATAAAACATTTTCATTTTGAGGTGACATTTCTTGACAGCTTTTATTAGATTCACAAAGATGCTCCAACCAGCTGACAGAAGCATGATCTCCATAAATCCCCGTTCACTTACCCTAAAGAAGAATTCCTCATTCCACTTCGGATCCAATGTCTACAAGAAAGACAGAGAAATGTTAAACACTTGACAAAATGACAAATCCTGCAGTAGAGAGTCTGTACACACACCTTTTTGATGGTTTTGGTCTGTAGACCGGTAATTTCTCCATTGACGGGGTCATAGAGAGAGATTCTTGTGTACGGATCACTGCGGATGAAAGGAAAACAAACTAATATTACACAAGCACACATGGAAAAAAAGATGGGCTGTCTTTGAGTCATACAGGAAGAGTTACTAAATATTAGTAACTAAAATGTGGTCAGGTTTTCCATTGTTAATCGCAGGACGTGATCAACAGTGAATATTATGATTAGCAGTCATGTGATTATGGATCTCAGTACACACCATAACAAGTATTCATCCCTATCTAGCAAATCCATTCACCAACTTAAACTACATGCAACATCAGGAGGAAGCAGCGCACAATCCCTCAACTGTTTTCACTGAATATCTGGCCTTTTTCCCGAGCAAGTATTACAGTGAAGGAGAGATGATATCGCTCAGCACAAATATTGATTGCATACCTAGAGCTGTGTTATTTAGGTCAAAGTGAGCACGGCTGATCTGTTCATACCCTCAAGGACGGCTGCTAACACTGCCATCTACTGTTTCCATCAGCCTACGGATCACTGCAGACTATGCATAACATTAACTCTTTAGCATGTGGCTGCTTGTAAATACATTTCTTGGCAAAATACTGCACTTGCTTTGTATTATATCTTTCTATCTATATATAACCCAATGCATTTATAATACAATGCATTGTATTATAAGAAAAACCAGATCAAATAAATGGTAAATAAATAACTACTAAAACAAACATTATTATAATCATTAACAGTCAAAATGAAACAGCAACTGCAATCCATTTTATTTCTGTAATGTAAAACAGAATATTCAACAAGAAAGAAAAAAAGTAGGGCGGGACATGATTTTCCCCGTCGGGAATAGACTGATGATGAAAGTGGGCTTTCCATAGAAAAGTGAAGCAAGAGCTGAATGTGACTGAACAAGCAAGCACAATAAGACCAGAAATGTGTATTAAGAAAGCAAATAGAATCAATTTGGATTTCATGCTGACTTCATTATTGGTTTTCTCCCCTTGTTGTTATTTTTCAAAGAAGATCCAGCTAAAACGGAGGAGTAATAAACATCACGATGAAGCTCGTGAATCCACAGGAAGGCTGAAATTTAATTATTAGGCTGTAAAAAACTATTATTATTTTCACAGCATCTTTTTTAGGAACAGATAAAAGCCTGTATGAGTGTCAGATTGTCCAAACGGAAGCTCCATTATGCGGGATACAAACGATTTTGTGTTTTCATAACAAACTGATGGCACGTGAAGATGTGAACGTGAAGATCCTGGTGGACTCAGCCATGCGAAATGTCCTTAAAATGCGCTGTACACTATCTGACTTTATGTGATCCACCCAAAATGTGACACTGACTGAGTGTTGAGTGAAATCATGGGAAAAACCTTGTCTACTACTGTATATGACAAGTGAACTAAGCATTTAACACTTTAACCGCCAGGGGTCATTTTTACGGTGACGCATTGCTGCCACACACATATTATTTTTTCCACTCAATTATGTCGTAATAACGAGATGTTATGTCGTTTTAACGACATCTTTTCTCGTTTTAACGAGATGTTTTCTTGTTAAAATGACATCTTTTCTCATTTTAACGACGTCTTTTCTCGTTAAAACGACATATTTTTTCTCGTAATAACATCATATTATGTCATAAAAACGATATGTTTTCCCGTTATTATAGATCGGCTATATGGTACATTATGTGAGCGAGCTAAGCGACTGTCCGCGCTGCTGTCGCCACAGTCTGACAT